ATGTAATTGGCATTTGCCTTTGCAAAAAACTTGCTAGTTCTCAGTGCTTTTAACAGGTTGTTTTTTCTAAGGTGTTTTCTTATGGGCCCAAATCAACAGAGTTCAAGTCAAAAATGATGTTCTGATCTCAAGATATGACTCGGGTCCCAATCTTCAATTTTTTTCAGCTATTTTATTGTCAGCCAAGCAAATACATTACCACTTGTGTTCTCTTCTCTTCTCTTCTCTTCTCTTCTCTTCTCTTCTCTTCTCGTATGATGCATGCAACTCCAAGGTCATGTGTTTGATTCCCAGAGGATGCATGAACGGATAAAATGTATACCTTGTAAGTCGCCTGCCAAATGTAATGCAAATGTTAATGTGCAATTTACCTAATCAGGTAGACTGTACGAGGTGTCCTTTTCTTGACTTTAAAACTTTTGAGGGTTTCATTGACAACTCTCAAGTTGTAAAGTCCTAGAATCTCCCAGCAGGAAGCGTATGTTATTTGCCTTACCCGGGAAATAAACCTGTGTAGTCCAATCTCTGAAAATGAGTAAACTCACTCAGACTGTCCTCGATGTCCCGGTCTGGTTGAGTTTTAACAAGGCAGAGGCACCTTTCTGAGGCCAGTTAAAAATGCATTTAATCACTATATAAACATGCTGTCCCGGAGCCCCCATGACAGCGAAGTTATGCTGTCTGCACTTGTTCTGCATTTAATCACTGCCCTCATACAAACGCCACAATAAAGTGCCTTGTTTCAGTCGTATTCCCATCATTTAGCTTTATTTGAAATTTATTTTCTGCTTTTTTGTCCATAAATGTAATAACCGTGATGACATCACCAGCAAGGGCCTGATTACTTTACTTCCTCTTCATTAACTTAATTATTTGACTATCAGTAAACCCGCCTGAGTAATTCATATTTGAGAGGCTGGGCTGTAAATAACCTCTTTCAGCTGGTTTATTATGGGCAGCACATTTGCAATTCTCCAGCATGTTAATCAGCCTCATTGGTTGTGTCTGAATCTGAAGGCAGCTGTCTTGTTGCCCATTAAAGGTATAGTTCATCCAAAACATTTTGTCATTAATTGCTCACCCTCATGTCGTTCCAAACCCGTAAGACCTTTGTTCATCTTTGGAACTCAAATTAAGATGTCCCTGCATATACAGCAACGCAACTGACACATTCAAGGCCCAAAAAGGTAGTAAGGACATCACTAAAATAGTGGTTCAACCATAATGTTATGAAGCTATGAGAATATTTTTTGTGCACAAAGAATACACAAATAACGACTTATCAGTCAGTCTTTAACATGCGTTCATGAGAGTACCACGACGCATGCACTGATGTCACATGGGGTATTTTAACGATGTCCTTACTTCCCTTCTGGGCCTTGAACATGTCAGTTGCATTGCTGTCTATGCAAAGTCAGCAACCTCTCAGTTTTCATTTGTGTTCCGAATATGAACAAAGGTCTTACGGGTTTCGAATGATATGAGTGTGAGTTATTATTCTGCTGTTCTGTGAGCTATTATTCTGTTAAACATAAATAATATATTTGTAAACATGTTTATACACGTTGTTATTTTTTAATATGTTGAAATAAATACATTATTATATTATAAGTAGGCATTCATTTGGGAAGAGTTTTCAAACATTAACCACTAAAGTTACGTCATAGCACACATTTTTACGCATCCACGCTCACAGAAATTGCGTAGGCCTGATGAGGTAACCATAACAACACTGTAAAAAAAATTCCGTAAAATTTACGGTAAAAAACCGACAGCTGTGGTTGAGGAAATACATCAACTTCGCACTGTCGATCGCCGGATCGGCTTTCACCGTGGACGAAGCGGAACCCGGGGTCGTCACATGTGGTTGCCGCAAGCCCGCCGGACGCTCCTTTGTCGAAACCGCCGGCCGTGCTGTTCTCAAGCCCGCCGGCCTCCGCTCACTCTAGGCCTCCTGCCTCCGCTCACTCTAGCCCGCCGTGTGTTTCGTTGTGAAAGCGAAACTACTTTTTTTGGTCTTCCAAAAGAGGACACGACTAGCAATCAGTGGTTAAGTTGTATTTACAACACTGTTCCAGAACACTTCACCCCAAATATTTGTGTGCAGCACATTTTATGGAGGACTGTTTCCTGATCCTGGTAGAGTAGACTACAATGCCGGCTGTTCTGACTCACAGACTTTTTCATTTAAAGGATTTGCCACTGATGATTCAAACGCAAGTTTTGAGCAGTGTAGAGTAGCGCTTATTTGTCATTTCTCCGATCACAAATGCAGACATGGTTTTATGTTTACGTGGCGCGATGCAACGCAATGCTAAAAAGACAGTATAAGTCATTATAATACATAATTATGTCCCCATTGGATGCAACAAATGCCTCGTTTATAATGGGTTTTAATGTTTTTGAATCGTCGCTCCGGGACATGGCCTGACAGTATGTTAAGGGGCGTAACATTTCCGTCACACGCTTGAGGTATTCAGTCAATCACAACGCACTGGATAGCTGGCCAATCAGAGCACACCTCACTTTCAGACCGATGAGCTTTGTAAAAATCGACACGTTTCAGAAAGGCAGGGCATAGAGGAGAAACAATAATGTACAGTATGTGGAAAATAATGTGTTTTTTGAACCTTAAACCACATAAACGCATTTCATTACACCAAATACACCAAATAATGTTATTTTTAGCAACATCGAATGACCCCTTTAAAGTCGTAGTGTAGCCTAATCTTCACGCTGTACAGAATGTTAAACAAATTTTACTTGAATTCCTACCTTTAGAGTCTAGACTGCTGTCTCTGAAAGCAAGCTTTATTCAGATTTTGAACACAATCATTTCCACAGTTTGGTTTTTCATTTCATTTATGTGCAGCTATTTACAGCAACAAATATAACATTACTATAGCAGTGTATCGACCTCCCTTGCATCTTTCAATAGAAATGAATGACAGACTTTGACTTTCTTAAATAACATTAAAGTGAACAAACATTGATCCACATATGAATGTAACCATGACATATAGAAATATACATGCCTCAAGCTCTTTTCCGTCACACAAGTAAATGATGCATATGAAAGGTGGAGAGAAGGTAAAAAAAATGGCATAATTGTAATGCAAATAAATATTTATATGCACCTTTCAACAAAACAAAAATATAATAAGTGAATTATAATACAATGTATTTCAAGCTGATGTAATGCCTTTTAGTTGTTTTGGTTTTACACCACATGAAACTACCTACATTTGAAAGACATGTTGGTATACTATAATGAGTGCATCCTTGTAGTTTTAGGAATTGATTGGATTATGAAAAGTGCCTGTTTCATACCACAGTGAAGTTTGCTGTGGATTGTGAAGGATTACCAGCTGCCTGAAACTCCACGACCACCAACTTTCTGACCTGGACATGGAAGCTGAAGCTCAAACTCACCCTCCAGAGAATCTCCAGGGGTAATGCATCTATTTCAGATCCGGCTTTGCTATTAATCTGTATTAAGTTACAGTAAGACGCTTACGTTATTTCTTTGGAATAATGTGCATTAATGAATCTTGCACAATAAGACCAGAAATGTATTAAGAAGGGTAATTTAGATTTTACATTGTCTCTTAAAACCAGCACTTATGAAAGTTTTTTTACAGAGTTATTGTATGTTTAGTGGAGGATTATTTGCAGCTGATAGTTATGAAGCAAAAGTGTTTTACTGCAAAAACTGCACGTCTGATGCTATTTACAATGAGCAAAAACAATAAATTAACATTTACATCTTGTAGAAACAAGACATAGCTCTCAGACATTGAATTAAAAAATTGTAATCAAAGCTCTTGTGAGCTGCCTTGCTGCCTAATTAAAATGAAACCTCGTAAGTGACTAATTTGAAATGCTCTACATAGGCAGCATTTCCATGTGCCACACAAATAGCACGCCTCATGTGAACAATTGATTCCAATAGCGGTTAAAATTGGAATGTTGCTAAGTTAGCAAAATGATATTCTATATAGCAAATATTAGGTAAAATAGACAATGTTAAATTGTTTATTATTTTTTATGGTATTGAATTAATAATATCTACACTACCATTCAAAAGATTGGGGTTGGATGTTTTAATGTTTTTGAAAGAAGTATCTTGTGTTCACCAAGCCTGCATTTATTTTTGTTTAAAAAACAGTAAAAACAATAATTTTGTGAAATATTATTACACTTTAAAATAACCATTTTCTTTTTTAATATATTGTAAAATGTAATTGATTCCTGATGCAAAGCTGAATTTTCAGCATCATTACTCCAGTCTTCAGTGTCACATGATCCTTCAGAATTCATCAAATGTTGATTTGATGAATAGGAAACATTTCTTCTGTATTATTATTATTATTATTGTTATATTTTGTATTGCATGTTGAAAACAGTTAAATATATAAATATTTATTAAATGTATTATTTATAAATATATTAAATATCTATAAATAAATACATTTATTTTTGTGAAAACCATGTTACCGTTTTTTATTTTTCAGGATTCTTTGATAAATGAAAAAGTTCAAAAGAACAGAATATAATTATTTGTTACACTATTCACTGTCACTTTTAATTAATTTAATGCATCCTTGCTGAATAAAAGTATAAATGCCCTTAAAAAAAAATCTTGATAACCCCATACTTTTGAACAGTTGTGTCTGTGTGTGTGTGTGTGTGTGTGTGTGTGTGTGTGTGTAGAGAGATTATGTGATGCCCTTTGCTGTCTACAAGTTTTGGAACACAACTTGAATGTTTATTATTATATTTCATGTTTACTTTGTATGAGTTTCAATGACCTGTACTTACCAACACCATCACAAATCGGTGAAATTAATTCTGGTGATTGGCTTTCGTGTGTCTATCGGTGACTAAATAGTTTGTCATTTATAGTCTCTGTTCTTTAATTTTACTGTTGCCACAGTCAGACCACAGTACAGGGCTGTAATGCTGCTGTGCATTTATGCAGTTTCAGTTTCAGTATCTTTTCATAACCCTGCCCCAATCTTCCTGTCGCCTCCTCCCACCTCCTCCATGTCGTCCTCAGAGAACGGGCTGTCGGGGTGGTATCTTAACGCAGACGCGTGGTGTAGAAAGTCTGTGGAATGTGGTACATTAAGGTTGTCGTTAATGAATTTGTGTTGCCCTTCCTCCTCATCTTCCTCATCCTCCTCCTCAATATCATCCTCTTCCTCGTGCTCCTCCACACTCTGAGCGATGGCCCTGCGACTGTCCCTTCCTGGCCTCTCATTGGTCGATTTGGTTCCCCCACGTTGACGATCGACCTCGGCCTGTTCTTTAGCCTTACGACTGCGTTTCCACTTCATTCTGCGGTTCTGGAACCAGATCTTGACCTGTTTTACAGACAATCCCATAAGTTTAGCAGCAAAATAACCATTTTCTACCAATAAACCAATAGAGAAGTATACAATAGAATTTATGGAATCATGTTTTTTTTTAGACACTACAGTGATGGTGATATGGTGTATGTTTTATCAATGTTTTATGTTTATTTTGTTTGTCCATTCTAATTAGTAGAATTTAAATACCACAATACTAACATGATATTTTTACTATTTTGTCAAGTGTAAAAAGCATACTGTTAATATGATAACCATTTTACATATATCATTTTTGAAAGAAATTAGTACTTTTTTTCAGGAAGGGTATATTAGAATTAATCAAAAGTGAGAGTAAAGACTTTTATAAAGTTACACAAGATTTCAATGTATCAAATAATCCCAAAGTTTCCAAAAAATAAATAAATAAATATATATATATGTTTTTTTTTTGTTTTGTTTTTTATAACTAGAAGTGTTTGAGTATCAAATCAGGATATCATTTCTGGAGGATCATGTGACACTGAAAACTGTAGTAATGATGCTGAAAATTCCGTTTTGATGATCTGAATGAATTACATTTTAAAAATATATTAAAATAGAAAACAGTTATTTATAATTGCAGTAATATTTCACAATACTGTTTTTTTATTATTAAATAAATGCAGCCTTGGTGAGCATAAGTAACTACTTTTAAAAACACTTAAAAATCATACAAATCCCAAAGCTTTGAACGGTCGTGTATCAAAGTACCATAATGTTGCCATTTTTTTCATAATCTAAAACCTCAGTTTACCATTAGTTCCACTCTTTCATCCTCTCACTTTCGCACTCCTTTACCTGTGTCTCGGTCAGCATGAGCGATGTGGCCACTTCGAAGCGTTTGGGTCTGGAAAGGTACTTGTTAAGTTTAAACTGGTTTTCCAGCTCCAGTAGTTGTTGACTGCTGAATGCTGTCCGCGGCCTACGACATTTACCCATCAAACCGGACTGGGGGGCGGCTGTAAGACAAATAGAAAGAATGTGGACATGAATAGATCGTAACAAATTATGAACAGATTACACACAAAAGACCTTTAAATGAATGTTTCTAATATGTTGTTTTGATGCTAGAATGAATCTATAATGTGTTTTGAGTGATTGCTATGTGGTTTCCTACTGGTCCAAGTCAAAATAAGCCACATTGAGGTGATATACTTTTACTCAGATGTGGCTCAGATCTTTAGGGTTAGGAGTTTGTTCAAGAGCACTGCTAACAAGTGCAATTATTGTGCTGCAGTTTAACATATCTTTATGCTGATCTAATATACACTTTAAAATAAGAGCATAAACATTCAACAGCATTTTTAGTTAAAAGCCACATCATTGCTAAAACTGTAAATCTGTTCCAAATTAATAACAGGCCTCTTGTGCCTGTATATAAAAATTAAGCACCAGCCAAAAGGGATGCAAGCAAGGTACTGTAATCCACATCTAGATTATTTTTATGAGATTTTTGTCTCTTTTATATAATGTCAAGGACTTGTAGGGTCAGACACACACACACACACACACACACACACAAAAGAAAGCCCGGGAATTTGCAGCTATCATTTACCATAATAGCTTTACTGCAGCTTATTGTTAAGAAGAAGCAGGGCTGGGCGGCCATAAAACGCAAGAGCAAGCCATTAACTTAATGAAAATTCAATGAACGCTTTTGGGATTTTATTGATGAACTACAGTATGTTTAAGGTGTTTGTTTATAGTTTTTCTCTCACACAAAGACAATTCCCATCGAGCTGACATTTATGGCTTTATAAAGAAGCCAAAAATAAAATTATATTATTACAGTTTGGTGTAAATCCTGGTAACACAATGTGGACCATTGTTCAGTTAGAGTGTCAGAATGACTTTATTGTTGAGTTGTCGTTTCTTTAACTATCCAAGGATAATATAATCTTTCAATCATGTCTATGAAGAGTGCAATGTCTGGTAAAATATATTGGCTATTCGGTTGTTCACAAAATATTATTGTTGTTTTTTGATTATATCATGTATTTAAAATTTCTGCTTTCAGTTTGTAAAAATATGTTTCCCTGTATTTTTCTCATTAGCTATTTTTAAATACATTTAAATTTAGAAAAAACGAATATGTAGCCATAATTTCCTGATACTGCCTTATCATTGTAATTCAGCAAACTAATTTCGCCACATGATTTCAGTTTAATAATCCATCAAACAGGAGTTATAAACATATCATAATTGCTTAGTGACAAATTAACTCCAGTTCTTTCAAGAGTCACAGGTGTGAAAGCACATCTCTCTCACTCTGTTTGCTTTTCCTCACCTTTGATTATGTTGAAAAGGATTTCATGAGCTTTTACAATATTTGCTTTCAAACTGACAATGGCGGTAATGCAACAAAATTTGGTGTATGACAGTAATGATGCTATAATGATGGAGGTGTACAAATAATAAGGGAGACCTTATCATGTTTTTTTTAATTCCCATTTATATCAGAGGCTTTTGTAGTTATTAATTACATAAAAACTGAAATTTGCTCATGTGCATTGGGCATTTCAAAACTGGAATAAAGCATTATTAAGTGAACTTTAATAACTTTGAAATAATATTATCATATTATATAATTCGGTGATATTTAAACAGGTAAATGTCAATAAACTTAAATCCTATATTTAATATTGTCCATATGTAAATGTACATCAACTTTTTGAACAGATTATTGTTGAATTATTAATGAAAGGTTAAAAAATGTCACTCAAATTTCATGAACAAACATTATTCAATCATATATATAATGCTGAACAGAATTTTAATTCATGCATTCAAAATAAAACTTTCATTATTCTTATGCACTGTAAAAAATATGTTTTAAAGGTTATTTTTTACAAATGATTGCAGTACGTTTTACAAGAAAATACTTAGTGTTATTTGCTGTTTCTTTGGTCTTTCACAGTTTTGCTATGAACTGTGAAATTTACTAGCGTTTCTGAGTGAAAATTGTTACATACACCTTTTGTTTTAGTGCATATTCGATTTTCTATGGACAGGAACTTTTGATGTTTCAAGGAATATGTCATGTTTATTAGCGACTTAAATTGTTACCCACTCATCTGAATGCTAGCCCACTCACAGGTGTATTCGGGCAGTCGTGGTACCATGATGCTAGCTCGTATCCAGTGCTCCAGCGGTAAAGATCCGGCCATCGCCGCCGCCTTCAGCTGCTCAGGGTACGGCTGCGTCAGCTGCGTAAAACCCGAGTACGCCAGGGCAGGGTGCTGACTTCCCAACGCTGAAATGGGGTACATGGGCGTCGTGTACATGCCTGGAAACGAAGTGAGTCCTGGGTGTGGGAGATTGAGCAGCCCAGGTTTAGGTAGGATTCCGGTTTGGAGGTGTATGGCACCGTGGGTCCCGCGCGGGGATGGAGTGTCGCCGCGCCTGCAAGACACCGGGCTGCCCGTCATGCTGTCGCTGCTCAGTCCAGGTGATACTTCTCGGGTCCCTCGATGTGGTTCTTCAGCCAGAAGGGCGTCGATCCTGAAGTTCTTTGATTTTTCCATTGCAACGCTTTTAGAGTGTTTGGAGTTGCAGGAAAACACTTGGATAGCTGCGTTTTACGCACGGATACATGCGTTTTAATCGCGATTACGGATACTTTCTGTTCTATTAAAACTTGGATATTTTGAGTTTAGTCTAACTGATATTTACCCATATGGAACCATGAGACGCCCAGAGTAATTAAAGCAGCCTATCTCTAAAACTTTAAGCACAAAAAAAAGAAAACTCTCCCAGAAAAGATATGATTCGCTTAATCGTACTGTATCTTGGCGCTCTCTCTTGTTTAGAACTGTATCTCTGTCATATGCTCTGCTCTCTGAACCTCCCCGCACGTTCACAGCTCACTCATAACGCCTGTGTGAGCGCTGATTGGCTGCAGAGGATGTCCTGCGGGAGTCGATCACTTGACATTTTTCTAATTAACTAATCATGCTGTAGTATAGACACTTCGAGCACGTCCTTGGACTGAGATGTGGTCCTCAACCAACATCAGAGCGGAGCCATATGCGAAGTTTCCAAAGTGCCTGTCATCAGGCGTCTCTCATCCTCTCTGGGGCTCAGCAGTAACTCAATTAATTGCAATTATTGCAAGTTTAAAGGTATCCCTAAATCATCAAAATTAGTTCAAATAAACAAGAATTTCTTGTCGCTAGGTTTATTTACTTATTAAGACGATAATGCTGATACGATTTCTGAGACCTGAAACATTTAAATCATAATTCTAAAGTAAATGTATAATATAAAATATAATGTATTATTATTATTACTATTATTCAATATCTGATTAAAAATGTATAATCTCACTGAGCAGTCCAAGATGTGTCCTACATATTAAAACTAATATGTGCTGTAATATGTTTTACGACTTATTTAAATAATCTCGGCTATAATATCAAGATAATTGCGTTTTACGACTTCACATTATATGTAGTCCATAAAATTGTGCATTAGCCTATATATTTATGATTGACTCTTATCTGTGCGTCAGATATTTGCAGCCTTAAAGGGTTTGATAAAAGTCTCCGTTTTTAGGTTGACCTATAATCTAAAAACCTCCTATGGAAACATCTGTATCTAAAGTAATTGATTTCATTGAAATATTTGATTATTTAGAATGACTACGTTTGCCAGACTGTTTTGATTTAGACAAATTAAATATTTTTAAATTAAAAGACAGATCAGGTAGAAATAGCTCTAACTGCATGCATCCAATATCCAATTTACAGTAGCCAGCATTAATAATAATAATAATAATATCGCATTTATTTATCTTTTGAGATCTCATTGCTTCATAAATACAATTCGCTGGTAATTTTCATGGACTTGAGCATTTATAATGAGGGGTCTTAAGATGCCTTTTAATCAATTTAAGACAGAACAGTCGGTTAGATACGAAAACGCAAACAAGAATAATCTCCGACCGCATAAACATCGTGAAATAAATAATCATCGTTTTAGAGTAAAAATAAAACAATATAGGCAAGGCTGCAAAGCCTGCAATCTTCTGTCTCCAAGTGCAAACACTCTATGCATTAGGCTACATGGGGGAAAATACAAATAATAAAGAGTTGTAGATCTATATAAAAGAAATAAATGAAACATGCAATCCATTCAAAACCGTCATTTCATCCATGGGCTGCTTGTCGTAAGCACGCAATAAATCGAGACGAAATGGATTGAAATTCGCAATTGTTATTTTAAATATTGCCTACACGAAACGGCAGCGGACGCTGGATTAATAACATGGAAACCCGTCTCTGCAAAGGGGACATGAGGCAGAAATGGATATTTTCGCCTTGACCCGAGAAGACTGGAGCGGCCCGCCCCTCTATCCCGCAAATGCGGTCCTGATGCAGGCTGCGTCTCCAAACCTAGTGTGTTCCCTAACTAGACAGCATGTTTGAGCAAGCATTAGATAATTACTGACGTAAACACACAGTCTACGCTGGTCATCTCTTTGATATTTCACATTATATGGTTTATATTGTATTTATATTGTACATTTCATACGACAACACAATGCACAAATTATGGTTTTACACGAGACATTTTTTCGATCTCTCTCTCTCTCCCTCTCTCTCTCTCTCTCTCTTTTTTACAAAATCGAAATGTATTTTTATTTAATAAATTTACAAAAAAAGAATGCTGTCCAGATAGGCAGCTCACAAGGTTTGAGACAAAGCCAGAGCTAATTTGCTGAAGAGAAATCAAGAGTTCTCCGCATATTCCCATGCAGCAACCTCTCCCTTCCCTCGGTCGTTGCGCTGCTTTTATGATTTAAAAGTAATTTAAACAGGCCGGCCACTGGTAAATCCGTCATTGGCACCCCGTGACAGAGGTGCGCAAATTAAATGAAGCATTAGATAATTACTGACGTAAACACACAGTCTACGCTGGTCATCTCTTTGATATTTCACATTATATGGTTTATATTGTATTTATATTGTACATTTCATACGACAACACAATGCACAAATTATGGTTTTACACGAGACATTTTTTCGATCTCTCTCTCTCTCTCTCCCTCTCTCTCTCTCTCTCTCTTTTTTACAAAATCGAAATGTATTTTTATTTAATAAATTTACAAAAAAAGAATGCTGTCCAGATAGGCAGCTCACAAGGTTTGAGACAAAGCCAGAGCTAATTTGCTGAAGAGAAATCAAGAGTTCTCCGCATATTCCCATGCAGCAACCTCTCCCTTCCCTCGGTCGTTGCGCTGCTTTTATGATTTAAAAGTAATTTAAACAGGCCGGCCACTGGTAAATCCGTCATTGGCACCCCGTGACAGAGGTGCGCAAATTAAATTGAATCAATCCAAGCGGTGCACGTTCTCTCTTTATTAGCTCAGGTCTGTCGCATGCTTTCCAGTGATTCAGTGCAATGACAGCCAATGCTAAACAAGACGGCTGAAAATAAAATAATATTTATATATATTTTTTTTTTTTTGGTTTACATTTTTAATTGAAATGTTTACATTTAAAACTGATTTACAGTATTTTGCAGAGGTAAGGTGAATTTTACCGTACACTCTAAGAAATGCTGGGTTAAATACAACCCAGTGCTGGGTAAAATAGGGACAACCCCAGCAATTATTTTTACACGGTAACTTTTTTAAACAGTAATTTTTGCAGTATATCATACAGTATATGTATTGACTGAATATTTATTAACATTAATTATTGTTTAATTACACATTCATTAATTAAATAATGTTTAATATTACACTCTAAGAAATGCTGGGTTAAATGCAACCCAGTGCTGGGTAAAATAGGGACAAACCCAGCAATTGGACTGTTTTGACCCAGCGGTTGGGTTAAATGTTTAACCCAACCTTCTGGGTAGTAACCCAACCGCTGGGTCAAAACAACCCAATTGCTGGGTTTGTCCCTATTTTACCCAGCACTGGGTTGCATTTAACCCAGCATTTCTTAGAGTGAAGGCTACTTTATGTCCAAATGGCCTTGTTGTTTCATAGGTGACTTAATGGGCATCTATACCTTTTATGTTTCAGTTAAGAATCAAGTTTGTCTCAGATGTTTAAGTTCCTTAATTGTTGATGTATAGAGCCGTAAATAAATGAATGTAGCCCAATAAATATAGTCCACATTATTTAGTCAATGACTTGATGAGAAATGTTTTAGTTTTTAATCAATATTCTGTTAGAATTTTCAAATTGACTACAGATGGGATGTTTGACATTTTTGAGATTATAGAAAGCTATTTATTTCAAGTTTTATATGGCCCAATGCTTATTTGAATGTTTATGTATAGTTTACATGTAAACATGCATGGACACAGTGCCTTAAAGGAATAGTTCACCTAAAAATGAAAAAAAAAAAAAAGTGCTGAAAATGGGAAGATGTAGACGAGTATCTTCATCTGAATTTTTTTTTTTTTTTGAAATTTAGCATTGCGTCACTTGTTCACCAATGGATCCTCTGCAGTGAATGGGTGCCGTCAGAATGAGAGTCCAAACAGCTAAAAACATCACAATAATCCACAAGTAATCCAACTCCAGTCCGTCAGTTAACATCTTGTGAAGCAAAAAGCTGCGTGTTTGTAAGAAACAAATCCATCTTTAGGCCGTTTGACATTTTAGAGGACAATTTTAGAAGGAAGCAATGGTTTAAAAGTTAGACATTTCTTAATGATTTACATCTACATCTTTGATGGCCAGAGGGTGAGTACATTTTCAGCAAATTTATATGAACTTATCACAGTTCATCAAGTTTCGATATGTCCTTCAAAGTCAAAGTTTATCATTTAATTTCAGGCCTGTAAACTTTAGTACCTGTCGCGTTTACGGAACATTAAAGGCCTTATCACCGATTACAGGCATATTTTGCTGTCATTATCGCAGCTCAGCAAAGATCACACAGCCGTGACCGGCGGACGTCTTAGTATCTCATGACCTCTCTTTGATCCTCTGTCTGAGTCAGCGGTTTCTTTTATTTCAGTGGAAATTAAACAGACGTCTGATTAGCATGACCCAAATTCCAATCCGGTACACACCGAACTCTTGGTAATTTTTATTTTGAACATATGCATATAAAACACATCACACTGCAAAAATGTTTTGTCAAGTTTGTTTGGAGCAATAATAATATCATGGAATAGTAATATTTGCTTGGACAAGCACAACCACTTATATCAGAAAAAGTCAAATCTAGTTTATTATTAGATGTTTTATTAAACGTGTGCCATTCACAAACCCTTTTAGTGTACCAACTTTTGAAAAATTAGCATGAGGTTTCATCTAATGCATTATACTAATTATTCTTGCTCTGAACATATCTCTGAGGACAGGTCCTTTCCTTGCTTCTGAACGCTGATAAATGTCCGGCTTTTACCCAAATGCCAGAAAGTAACTTAAAATCATTATTTATCAATGTTTTTGTCCTCGATTTGTACCTTCAGTGTAATTTGTGCAGCTAAACTTAATATGCTTTTATCTGTTGTGGCTGGGCTGGGATTAAATGATGTGGCTTTATTATGTTGATCC